AAAACTCTTGTCTTCAGTAAAACAGAGGGCTAGGAAAGAGCTGATCTGCAGAATAATTTAAAAAACATTTAAGACTGAAATAATATCTTCCACTTAACGAATTGAAACTATGTTGCAAACACTAACTTACAAGTTAAGTAACTCATAACACTACTAAGATTAGGGCAGGTCTATTTAAGGTCCATCAAGCTAACTATCAATTTCACTATTCCCACATGCTTTCCCCTCTCATGTTTATTATATTAACGTAGGCAAGAATGCTATTTATATTTCTACAGCACTTTCAATTTTATTAAGCAAAAAAATTACACTTAATGGTCACCTTACCACATCCCTAAGGAATTGTGGGGATTGTCCAACTAAGGTTTAGAGAGCAAGCCATTAAGCTTACTTCTTACTTAGTTTGAATGACACTAACTTTTATTTATTCAGTACCAAAATGAACATAAAGTCCAACTCACTGAGCTTCTTACAATTATCAAGATTTAGGTAATGTTATGCTTTTGTTCTCATTTTAATGAGCTCTTAAAATTTTAATTGGAATTAAAAGAATTATTTTTATCTTACTGAAATGATTGAAAATAGTCTAAAAATAATTCAATTGTATACAAAGGAAATGGCATAAAATATCTATATCTATATTTAATAATCATAAAAGCCTTTTGAAATCATGTTATGTAATGAGATCATTATTTTAGATAAGCGTAATTATAACACATGAAAATACATGCATTTAAGGCTGACAAAAATAAAGGGCTTGTCAGAAAAACATGTTAGCCCAACTTTCATACAATGCTTTCATAAACACTCTTCAAAATGGCTTTAATAAAAACAATAATCAGTAGAGTCATATAATCAAAGTAATACTAAAATTGATCAGCAGTGTTTCCATCTATACCTTTTGGCTAGTTTTTTATTTCTACCACCATCATTGATTCTGAAATCTCAGCCTCTAATACTCAAAAGTCTTTACCCTGACTCATTTCCCAACCCATCATCTCCTTATCTGCTATCAAGTCACATACTGAGTTAAATAGTTAATAAAAATAGAAGAACCAGAATTGTTAAAGAGAAAGATTACAAAGAAGACGAAGTGCCTGGAAAAGGCAAACAAAAAGGTGCAATAGGAGTGCTGGGATATTCGCTGATGATCACAGAACACCTCTGTGGTATTTCCTGCCAAAGATGCATGAACGGAAATCAACGATGGAAATTTCAGAATCAATGATGGTGGTAGAAATAAAGAAACATCAGGCAAACTGAAATTGAGGGCTATTTTACATTAACTTTTTTGTAATATTCAAAACTATCAGGCCCTAAAAGTCAAAAATATTCTTTGTATTGCCCTTGCAATTTTTCTGTCAATATAAGATTAAAAATTTTTTATTTTGAAACAAACACTATGCCAACTACCTTACTATGATAAGAGCCACACAACACAATTTAAAACCAGCATCATGAGTAGTGAAGAAACCCAGAAGTACTGACAATCAAGAACAAAGTAAGGGTGTTCATTCTCCACCACAAATAGCCGTGTTCTGCAGGTGGCAGCCAGTGTCATTAGTTAAGAAACATGTAAGTTTAAAAATAGAAAAGAGGAAATACAATTACTATTATTTGCAAATGATATGAGTGAAAATACCTGAAAAATCCAAGAAAATGAACTATAAACTATTATAAAAATAGAGGAATTTTAGTAAAGTAGCTGCATATAAAAATAATAATTTGAAACCCATGGGCTTCTATAAAAATGACTAGTAGTTAGATGATATAATGAAAGAAAACAATCCCATTTATAACAACAAAAATGATAAAATGATTAGAATAAATTAAGAGCTATGCAAAGATTATTTTAAATGGTACTAAGGAGCCCCCCCAAAAATGCCTTGAACAAATGAGAAGCAAAGCAATGTTCTTAAAAAGAATTACAATGATTTTATTTCTCCCTAAATTAAACTTTAAAAATATGCAAGCCAAATAAAAATACCAACAGAGTGTTTTTTAAAAGCATCATACACAACGATTCTAAAGTACGTATGGAAAAATAAAAAGAGCAACAATAAAAAAATTATTTAAAAGCCCTAAAATATTTTAAAACTTATAATTCTGTAAGTCACTTAAAAAGTGGTAGTGATACATAAATAGGTAGAGACATACATGGTACAGTCAAAAAACAAACCCAAATATATAGAGAAATTTAGTTAAAGCTAAGACACTGCATGCACATGACTGGGGGAAAATGTGGATTATTCAATAAATGCTGATGGGCAGCCATCTGAAAATTATTTCTCACATCAAATCAAATGCTAAATGGATCAAAAAGTGTTAAGGAATCCCAAAGTAAGAAGAAAAGATAGTTTTTGTTTTAATAATCTCAGAGTTGGGGATGCCTTTCTGAGAATAAGACAAAACCCGAAGCCATAAAAGACTAATAAATTTAGTCTTTTAACCTCAAAAAAATAAAATATTTATATATGGCAATAAAAAAGTTGCTCAACAATTATCATGAGAAATAAGACAATTCTTTTTCAACAAATGTCCAAAAAAATAGGAAAGCAGTCATATCACAAATCACAAAATTTACTTTTTTTAAAAAAGTTTATCTTTATTGTTGAAAATATTACAGATGTTCCCCCTTTACCCCCATTGATCCCTTTACTTCTCTTAATATATTAAGAGCACCTACAGTCAATAAAGAAGAGATCAGGACTCAATAGAAAAACATACAAAGAAAGTGTTGATAGAAAGGAAATACAAAAGGCTCAAACATATTAAAAAGATGTTCAATCTCACAAGCATGAGAAATGCCAATTAAAATTGCAACCTGTTAATACTGTCAAATGAATAAATGTGAATATTTGAGACTCACAACTTCAAGCCTCATTTATTAGGAGGCCCCCAAAGTCTCATCTTAGCTTTTTTGTATATGTATTGTTCTGGTCTTATACCCTAACCAGACTGGAAGTGCACAGTGAGAAGGAATTTGGTTTTATTTTTCTTCCCTATATTCTTCCTTACAGCAATCTGGACCATGGTAGGTAGTAGGTATTCCCCAAACACATTACTGAACTGGATGAAAATGGCTGACTTATCCTATCAGGATACAGTTTAAAACACAATCATAAACAAAGATTTTGGGAAAGAATTTTAAAAAGCTAGTGTGTACTAGTCTGTCAGCTTGCAGGCCTATATAAGATTTCATGCCTCTGTAGAGTGAAGAGTTGGTGTTCTGCAACAGCTCTGTTTCTTGCTCTTTATTTCTGGCCACCTAATATGTCACAAATGGTGTAAGTTAGTGGTTCTCCAAATGTTGTCCCAAGTAGTAGCATAGCATCACCTGGGTACTTGCTAGGAATGCAAATTTTCAGGCCCCATTCCAGGCCCGTTGAATCAGAAACTGAGGGTGGGGCCCACACATGAAAGCTGTGTTTTTACAGGTCCTCTAGGTGATTCAGATGCTTAAGTCTGATATTACCACCTGGTGACACTATCTTTAGGAGAAAGGGCTAGCTAGAGGCAATGATCATATGCCAGGGGAAACCAACAAGTAGCCTAGAAGCCTAGAACACTCTTTCCTCAGATCACCTTTTCTGGCCTTTGTTCAAAAGGCACTGTATCAGTGAAGCCTTTCTTCCCCACTCTACCCTCCCAAGCACTTCACAGCCCACTTACCACACTTTATCATAACACTTACTACCATCTAATGTTTTAAGAATGCATTTGTTTATTACTGCTTGTCTTCTGCCACGATTTAAGCTTCATGCAGGTAGGATCTGTTTTAATCATTGTTTCCCCAGTGCCAGCATGAAGTAGGCACTTGAAAAACATCTGTTGAATGAAAATATGAATCACTAAGCCAAAATCCAAACACATAAACACTCCAGTACCAACCTCTGCACCACATGCCCTAAGCTGCTCAATCATAATACCTTTTTCGGGATTCTAGCATTTCCAGGTAAATAGCACAGCCTCCCCTACTACATGACCTACAGGGGACATACACACACATCAAAATCTAGGGACATTAGAGCTAAAGTAGTGACAAAACAAATAACACCGAGCTCACAGTTCAGTAAATGAAACATGCATGCTGAATAAAA